CTAAACCACGTCAGAAAGGAAATAGAAGAAGTCGACTACACTACTACAGCACATCTCGGGCATGGATATAAATCAGAGTACTCACAAACTTCCAATCTATGACACATAACATAGCAGAGAAAGCAAGCAAAAGAACATGAACTGATACAAATAAACCTCAGATTTTACAGTATCTAACTTTCAAACTTGTGGTACTGCCAACAACATTCCAACAATTAAACATAAAGACCCGATCTTTGGAACATGAAACTTTTTGCCAACTCAAGCATGACAATTTCAAATTACTGAGGTCAACCCAGCACAGAAAATTTCAATGTTGGCAACTCCACCCTGCTACAAACAATTACATCCATCTAAGATAAGCTGGGGCCAACACAAAGTACAAACATTACACATAACTGATGGCCACAGTTCAGTAATTTGAACCAAAAGTTATGCAGTCCACCCCAGAACGAAGCACACAATCACTACAGCTAACTCAAGAAACTCAAATAACTAGCAAAATCAGTCTCTAAGCATTAAAAAAAACGAATGATTGAGCGAAAAGATATAAGCAGTAAGAGACCTCGCAAACTGGGTATTGAGAGCTCTTATCGCATGCCGTCTTGATGATTCATCACTCAGTTCATCCAGTGGCGGCTGCCGGATACATTTTTGTGCTCTGTCGGCATCAAATTGAGACCCCATTATTATCTTGCTCTGCATCTGCACACAGGGGCGGAGCCAGGATTTCAAATCTACCAGGGCTAGAATTATTTTTGCGAAAATAAAAAATATTTACAATTACTGGTTTAGAAAAGATACCTTATTTTTTTTTGCATTCCAACGAACTTCTTGCTCTCTTCAATTCTCATCACATTTCCTGCATGAAATTAACCAAGGTTAAATAAAAAAACAAATTAAACCCATTATTTCATTTTAATAATGAAGTTAAATATTTTTTAATAAAAGATAAGAGGCGTATTCGTACTATTGAAGTTGCGATCTACGCTTCTTTGAAATATAATATTCATTAATTATAGAATCAGAATCAATACTTGAATCAAACTCTCTCCAATATAGATGATCATTGAATTGGCTACAAAACTGCTATAATTTTGTATGAATATATTGCAGATATTCATGTGACAATAAAGATTGAAGTGCTTATTCTATACCAAATTTTAACTCTATCATTCCAATTTCCAACATCTGGTGGGTTTAGTATAATATGGTGGGGTTAGTATAATAAAGATAATTCTTATATTAGTTGTGCTCAGAACTCATCACATATTAGTTATTCCATGTAAAATAATTACTTTAAGAAAATATTAAATTGTAATACATGCTTGGAGAAAACATCTCCTCCAGCCCCACAATATATAAAAATTGAATTAATTAATTGATCATAATTAAAATATAAAATTGAATTAATTTATTTATCATAATTAAATTATGGAAGTTGAATAAATTTTTTTATCATAATTAATTTATTAAACATGAGAATTACTAAATATGATAATTTATTTAACATGATAAAATATATGAAAAAAGGGAAAACGCACCTTAATTTTTGGAAGCAAAAGATGGTGAGATATGGGAAGGAGCCGAGCAGATGAGCAGTGAACAGTGTTTTCCTCACAAAATCTGCGTGTAACTCNNNNAAAAAAAAAAAAAAAAAAAAAAAAAAAAAAAAAACCCTCTCTTTATTTGTTGAAGTGTTGATGCGTGAGAATTTGTAATTAAGAGTGATGATTAGTTCGTGGGCTGAATGACAAACCCTTTACTTCATGTAATATATTGTTGACACTTGAGTTGGACTTAATATAATTAA